CAGTGGTTAAGTGCCCCTGGGTTCAATTCCTGGTATAATATTTTTCCAGGAAAACTTGGCAAGAACATAGGATGTTCTTGATTGTACATTTTTCTTTCACAATTTTATTCTTTGGAACTCTTTGGAACTCCTGTTCACCAGCTGGGTGGTAATGGTAACAATAAAACAAGGGGGAAAGTAACAAGCAAACAGATATTAACAGAAACTTGGAAATGTGTGATCTTTGACATGGTCTGTGCTATGTCTCAAAGCACAGAGGGTCCTGGAAATGTAGGAAATAGTTATATTGTTTCTGCTGGCAAGATTATTCTTGGTTTGTAATGATAAGGTTAAAGCTATCTATATCAGTGTTCATGGTTTGCAGGTGTTCTGCCCACTAAACAAATCTCAAAACTAAGGGATGTTCAAAACTAGGCAATTCTAATAAAAGTAGCCTAACGTTTATTCCACTACTTGCTACCTTCTTAAGCACTGACCTCAGCACTTTTGATACACTTTTGACCCCATTTAAATTTCACGAGGACCCTATGAGGTAAACGATATAGTAGTTCCATTTAATGGATGAGAAAACTGAGGCTGAGAAAGGTTACACAGTTTGTCAAACAGTTTAAAATGGAGATGGACTTTCAATGAGCCCTGTCTTCTGAGCTTCATGAGCAAGGCTTCTTTCTCTTTATGCAGAAGGAGAGAGTAAGAAGAAGAGTCAGAGGAAGAAAACAGACACTTAGGAAGTACTTTCTTTTTTGCTGTTCTGTGTTGAGCACTTTCTCTGTCATTGGAGACTTACCTCTTGGCCAGGAGCTACTCCAGGTATACACAGGAAGATCACGGAGAGGGGCCAGAGGTGCCCTCAGAATTCCATCTGCCTCCCAGGGCTGATGTTCAAACAAGCTGTTAGTGGGAAAGGGGTTTTGAAGGCTATTTGTCACCTGTAATTTCCTAGAGAGGCAACACGTACTGATGTGTTGGCCCCAAAAGTCCAAGGTAGGAAGGTACTCAACTTAGGTCATCTGGGCCTAAGCATAGTCCTTAGGCCACCGAAGGAGCTTGCATCCCTTCCCAACCTCAGTGTACCTTTCCCCAGATGCTATGGTTTGTATCTGGGATGTTCCCCAAAGGCATTTGTTGGAAGGTTGTTTCCCAGAGTGGCACTATTGGGAGGTGGAAGAAGCATGAAAAGGTGGAGGTCTTCAGATTATTGTGTGTGTGTGCCCTTGAAGAAGAAAGCAAGACCCCAGCACCTCCCTCTCCCTTTCTCTGTTTCACTTCCTGGCCATGAGGAAAGCAGTTTTGTTCTGCCACATGTTCCCACCATCATGTGTCACAATAGGATCAACTGACACAGATTAAAACCTCTAAAACTGTGAGCTAAAATAAACCTTTTCTCTTTATAAGTTGATTATCTCAGGTGTGTGTTATAGTGACGCAAAGCTGACTAACACACCAGGGGATGAAGGCTGGTTGAGTTCAAGGCCACATGTGGTAATTTTTTAAAGGGGTTAAATCCTCTATAATCATCTCCTCCCCCTGGCCTGATTCCGCTCTTTTTGTCGTGTTCACCACCTTGCATACCCTGTATGGATGAATCCTCTCTGTTTGGAAGCCAATTTTCCTTGCCTTGCCTGCCTGTGAGATGTCAAAAGCCCAGGCTCTCCTGGAAGAAGATCCTCCAGGCATAGGATGGGCCTCCTGGCCTTATAGAACCAGTATTGAGTGCTGGGTGCTGATTCCCAATAATCCATATCCTCTGCCTCTGTGATTAGGGAATCACGGCTCCAAGGGAACAACAGCTGGGGGTCACGTGGCGAAGCAATCAAAATAGCAACCGGGGGGAGGGTGGATGATGGGAAAGGCAGCGGAGCACAACAGACACTAGTATGGCAATTTGTAAATCAATGGATGTGTAACTGATGTGATTCTGCAATCTGTGTATGGGGTGAAGGTGGGAGTTCATAACCCACTAGAATCAAAGTGTGGAATATGATATGTCAAGAAATTTGTAATGTTTTGAACAACCCACAATAAAAAATTAAAAAAAAAAAAAAAACAAAATAGCAACCACACTGAGGAAAAACTGATTCCCCTGGCCCCTCCCCTCCCCCCACCTCTCTTTTCATTTATGAATTCAGTTTTTTTTTTTTTTTTTGTCAGCCTGAACATTTAAATGCACTCTATGCTCTCTGGATTCCCCCTCATTCCCCCCTTCTCATTAAAATTCTAATTATTACCAGAGCAAGCAAAATGTATGATCAAAGGAAAGCAAGGCCCTAGAAATACCTTTTGTTTTAAGGTGACTCATATTGCAGAGGATGCATCAGAACAGCTGTTAACAGAATGGATTTGAAGGGTCTGGAGATGGCCCGACACATAGAATAAGGACACATATATCTGTAGTCGTTTTCCTGATGATCCCGGGAGGATAAAGGCTTAGAAAAATAGTCCCCAAGCCATTTAGATCATGAATGCATAACAAAAAAAATATTGAGTTAGTACCTCCAATATATGCTTACTTGTCCCCAGGTTATATACGTGTTCTATAGCAGTGAAATTGAAGAGCCAAACTGGCTGGGTTATGGCCCAGTTCTACCCCTTACGGGCTGCATGACCTGAGCAATCTATATAACTCTCTGTGTCTGTTTCTATGTCTACAAAATCAGGATCATATTGTACCTATTTCATTGGAAAGGATTGAGTGAACAAGAATATCAAAAGCATTTTGAACCTTGGACATAGTCATGTTGAATAAATTGACTAAACCCAATAATAAAATGCTGTTATTACTATCAATCTGCATATAAATTTTTGATTTCTTATATGAGATAATAAATATACATTAAAATGATCTCTTTTCCTGTGGCCCCAAGGCATGTGCTCACCACACTAGAGACCTTTAACCTAGTCGTTAACTTAGAATCAATCAATTTTTCTGGTCCCTGGCAGTCTCCAGAGGAAGGATGAGCCCCATCTCTTGGCCAGGGGAAGGTCCTGATGTCTCTGTGCAGGGTCTTGGCAGGAGACAGAGGTAGTGGTATGTGGCTAGGAACTTGAAGATTCTCTGCTATTATTCCCTCTTCATGGAGGTACCTGGTAGAGGATCTAGGAAAGTTACCTGCAACAGGGAGTTGAAAGGCAGTGCTGGCTCCCCAGAGAGTGTGGCTGAAGTTGTCACCTCCTTCTCAGATCCCTTTGGATGTGAGACAGCTTTCCTTGAACCTGTATTCAGGGAAAGTACCCAGCCTCCCTCCAGGAAGGACTGGGCATCTTTGTACCCCAAGCCTAGCTCAGAACCTGGCACATGCCAAATGCTCCGTAAATGTTGGTTAAACTTAATTTAAATGAGAGATAATCACACGCTTTAAAAAGAGAGAGAGAGATAATTACACCCTTTTATATGCCATTCATTCACTCGCTCACTCTCATGAGCCAGTTCCTATGCTAGTTCATGAGTCAAGTCAATGTGAAAAGAACAAGATCACAATAGCCTCCAGGAGCCTGTGGTTTCACCAGGGACAAACAGACCAGGACAGTACAGAGAGTGCCAGGCCGGGCAGTGGGCATCTGGACCCTGGTCTGAGTTCTGCATCTGACCAACCTGTAACTGCAGGCAAATCTCTGCTCAGGGACACTGCTCCCATCTGTAAAGGTACAGCCTGGCCTCAGTACCTGTGGAGTCATTCCTCACCATCAGTCCTAAGATTATTAAGGCACTGAAGCAGACTAATCCAGCGACTGCAACCCACCAGCCTGCCGCGGGGAACAGGGAGTGCCAGGTTGAGCTGGCAGGGAGCTCAAAGGAGTCGCCAGTTCCCACTTTGCGGAACCTAAGTCCAGCCACCAAGTCATCAGCTTCTTCCAGAAAAGCCAGAAATCTGGGGCGATGATGTATGTAATTTGGTGACTTTTCAGTCATAATGCAAGCCAAACAAAACTCTTCTGCTGACTTGTCCACAGTGACCGTTTTTACTCGCTGACCATTTGGCCCACAAGCAAGCCATTGGTTCAAAGCCTTCTGACTTTACTCGGAGCAAGAAGAGGCCTGAGGTTCAGAGCTTCATTCCCAGGTTTGGGGAGGGAAGTGGATGAGAGGTCTGCTGAGTGATTTCTCACAAAGGCAGGCACCCCGCTACAGCTCTCCTGAGATAATGGACATCTCTTGGTTCAGGAGTGGGCTGGGCATGGGGCAGTGGGTGTCCACCTCCAAATCAACCACCGTGCCTAAAAATACCAGCTTTACAGCAAAGCTCTCAAAGAGCCATAGAAATGGAGAAGGAGGGCTATCAGAATCATTTGTATTTTGAGGTTAGCTTTGACATACTGTATAGATCAGATTCTAAGTCAACATGAGTATTCATGGGGGCCTCCTGCATGCAGGGCTGCAGGAAGAAGAAGCCAATCTCTGCCTTCAAGGAGATGAGGCTCGACCCCATTTCCCTGAAGTCAACACAATGAGCTCCAGCCTTGGGCCTAATGGGGGTGGGACAAAGAAGAGGGGAGGGTGAGTTAGCTAGCCTCCACCCCTACCCCACAGGGCTTCACAGCCAGCTGGGGAAGAGATCTGTATACAAAAAAAATCACTGTTAAAAGTCTGCCCGTAGTAACATCTCTAATAGAAATTCCAACAGCATCTAAACATGCACGCTTCACGAATTTGCACATTTGCTTAGACTGCCATTTAAATCACTTTGCCTTCCCGGTGCACATGTCAGTAGGCAGTAGAGGAGGCAGCCAGGTGCTCCCAAGCTGGTGGAGGGTGGGGGGTGGGGATAACCCTGTAGAAACCAGACGGAGGTGAACATAAGGCTGCAGATATTTCACAAAATGGACCATCGGGAGTCAACCCTAAGACCGTCTCCCCCTCAGACTTGGCAGTTTTTCTCATGACCATTCTTTTCTCTTCTTCCGTCTTTGTCCCTTCTGTGTGCTGCCCCCCCCCTTCCAACACTGTCACCTGCTCTCCTGTCTGTCTCTGTCCCTCCCTGCCCGGCTCGTGCTGAGGGCAGGCACCTCTGTCAGCCTCCTCGCCTTGGTAGTTATTGTGTGTGGCGTGGCCCTGGTGGCAGTTTTTCTCTTTCTCTTTTGGAAGCTGTGCTGGATGCCCTGGAGGAACAAGGAGGCCTCCAGTCCCTCTGCTGCTAACCCTCCTTTGGAGGCCCTCCAGAGTCCCAGCTCCAGAGGCAACATGGCGGACAAGCTGAAGGACCCCAGTACCCTGGGCTTCCTGGAGGCGGCCGTGAAGATCAGCCACACGTCTCCAGATATCCCGGCGGAGGTGCAAATGTCAGTTAAGGAGCACATCATGCGTCACACCCGGCTGCAGCGACAGACCACAGAGCCAGCATCATCCACCAGGTGAAGGGGCCACCCCTCCTTTTCTAACCCTCACATGGCCAACTTCCTTTTTTTGATGCATTAATGAGATTCCAGCCTGTGAAGATCAGAGACCGGGAATAATAGCAAGTGTCCTTTGACTAAAGAATAAATCAAAGGGCGTGGTCCATGCAAGGAAGATGTGGACGGCAGGAAAGGTGTCACTAAAGGGAAACATTAAGGTGGAGTGCTGTGGGTGGGGTGCATACTTGGGATGGTTGTGGATGTGGGGAGAATAAGAGTGGAGTAGCGGGGTGTTGGGAGTTTGAAGAGAAGGAAAAACTTTAGGCAGGGGGGAAGAGAATATACAAAGGTCCAGAGGCATAAACATTCATGGTGTGTGAAGACATGTCAATGAAGCCCCATAGCTACATCCACAGTGCATGGGAGTAAAAGCAAAAGCCAACATTTTGAGAATGAAGATTCTTTTAAAACCCTCCAGAGCTCCTTGCATGACAGCAATTGTACACAAGACATCCTTTAATTCAAAACAATACCGACAACAGACAGTGATTAAAAATCTACTCTAAATTCAGAAAACACTTTTAAAAGATGTGGTGCATACATGTACAATAAATTGTATTTACACAAATTTAGTGCTCTGGTGGATTCCTGAGCCCCTGTAATGTCTCTCCAGGCTCCCAGGGACCAACCAAAAGAAAAGGGAGTCTGGTCTTCAGACTGGAAGGGCAGGAATGACAGCGCTAGCAATCACAGGGACAGAGTTTGTCATATGGCCTCGGGCAAGTTGGCCGCCTTCCCTAAACCTCACTTTCCCCAATTGTAAAATAGGGCTAAGGACTCTTCCAAGTTTGTTGTGAGATGTCCATTAAAGAATCCATGTGATATTAATGAGAGCTAATATATATATTGATTATTACACCTGGTCCTGTCCTAAGCATTTTATATGTTAATCTATTTCACCCTTACAGCAATCCTAAATGATTGCTACTTTTATTATCCTTATTTTTATAGCACAGAGAGGTTAAATAACTTGCCCAAAGTCACATAGCTAGAAAAGCAGCAGGGCCAAAATTAACCCATGCAATCTGCCTATACTTTTAACCCCTCCACTGCCTGCTCTATGGTAAATCGTAAGTGGTGTTGCTGGTGATGAGGATCATGAGGAGGAGGAGGAGGAGGAGGAGAGGTCTGAAGGTGGGGTCATGGCTTCATGGAGGAACCAGAGTTATGCCTAGTTAGGAGAGAAACTTAGAAAGCAGATGACAGAAAAGCAGGGAAAATGATTATGATAACAATAACTAACGTTCATTGAGCTTGTTGTACACCAGGCTCCATTCCAACTGCTTTACATACATTAAGACACGAAATGCTCGCAGCCAACCTTGTGCACAGAGTGTGTGCAGGGGGAAGTGGGATTGGCAAGAGGGAGGAAAGGTGAGCCACAGGGGTAGGATGGGCCAGGGCCAACACAGTTGGGTCTGTCAGAATCCCCTCCTCCTGAGCCCTGACACACTCTTCTGCCCCCTCCGCCAGGCACACGTCCTTCAAGCGCCACCTGCCACGGCAGATGCACGTCTCCAGCGTAGACTATGGCAATGAGCTGCCACCCGCGGCGGAACAGCCCACCAGCATCGGCCGCATCAAGCCTGAGCTCTACAAGCAGAAGTCAGTGGACGGCGAAGAAGCCAAGTCCGAGGCCGCAAAGAGCTGTGGGAAGATCAACTTTAGCCTACGCTACGACTACGAGAGTGAGACCCTGATCGTGCGCATCCTGAAGGCCTTTGACCTCCCTGCCAAGGACTTTTGTGGAAGCTCTGACCCTTATGTCAAGATCTACCTCCTGCCTGACCGTAAATGCAAGCTGCAGACCCGGGTGCACCGCAAGACCCTGAACCCCACCTTTGATGAGAACTTCCACTTCCCTGTCCCCTACGAGGAGCTGGCTGACCGTAAGCTGCATCTCAGTGTCTTTGACTTCGACCGCTTTTCCCGCCATGACATGATTGGGGAGGTCATCTTGGACAACCTCTTTGAGGCCTCCGACCTGTCCCGGGAAACCTCCATCTGGAAGGACATCCAGTATGCCACCAGTGTGAGTAGAGCACTGTTCCTTGGCTATTGTGGATTCACAGTTCTGGGTTGGGTGGGGTGGGGGATAGAAGAGCTACCATGAGGTGGGAAGGGAAGGGAGTTTTTATCTTTTGATTCCGATTGTGTGTTCTGAGATGGTTCTGTCTACTTGCTAAGCCTCAGGTTTTCCATCTATAAAACTGTACATGTCTCCTTGATCAAAGGTAAGAATTGGGCTAGTCCTGTGGACTGAATCACCCAGCAACATCTACTGAGGCTACTGATGTATATTAGAAACTGTGAACAGGCAATCAAGAACAAGTTGTTATCAGTCAGGATGAGCCAGGTTATACAGTGGCAACAAACAATCCCAGGATTTTGTGATTTAAGACAACCGGCTTTTATTTCTCATTCATATTACATATACTCTGCAGTTTGGCTGAGGGCCCTATCCAGTTTACTCAGGAACCCAAGCCAACCCAGGCTCCATCTCAATGTGTGTTTCCACAGTTAAACATCAGGAGGAAGAGGATATGGCAAATGTCATTAGCTGTGGCATATGTCATTAGCCAAAGCAAGACTTAGAACCCCCTCCCTTTTTTTTTCACTTTAAACTGTATTGGGGATTGAACCCAGGGGTGCTGTACCTCTGAGCTACATCTCTAGTCCTTTTCTTATCTTTCTTTTTTTTTAAATTTGACACCTGATCTCACTAAGTTGCTCAGGGTCTCTATAAATTGCCTGGGCTGGCCCTGAACTTGCAATCCTCCTGCCTCAATCTCCTGAGTCACTGGGATTACAGGCATGTGCCACAGTACCAACCTCATATGGCAACTCTTACTATAAAAATGGTAGGAGCAAAGCAATCGTACCATCTATCTAACGAACAACACTAATGACTACACACAGCAGTCCCTTGTCTTCGGCATTATCCTCTCAGTGTGGTCTGGGAGATGGGGCAGTTGGCTAATCCACGTGTTAGAGTGGACACTGGGCTGTTCACAATCAACTGGAACTGACCAGGGAAGGTCTCAAAAAGTTGAGGTTCAAGTTGGTTTTTAAAAGCACAGAGGACAAACTTTGCACAGAGAACTAGAGAGGGCATACCCAGAGCCCCTAGTTGGTGTGGATGGCATGTTCCAGTCCCCTGAGCTGATAAGGCTGTGTACCATGTCCTGAGGGTGTAGCTAATACATGCCCCCCAGAGCCCACCTGGGTGGCTGAGAGCAGGCACATGTTTGCCAAGCTCCCATGGCTTCATATGTAATGTCTTGAGTTCTGCCTGGTTGAGGGTCTCCCTGGGTGAGCCATATATGAGTTAGAGGGCTGACTGTACTCTGTCTGCAGACCCTGCCTTTGGACAGTCCTTACTCGATATCTTTGTTGAATTTGTAAGGAGGAAGGCTGGAAAAATCAGTTCCTGCTGTCATTGATCAAGGGCACAAATCTTGATTGGTTCTGAGAGATAGGGTGGGGGACTCCACTTCCACCCCAGGAAGGATCTCTGGGGACACTCCATTCTCATAGTCAGGGCTGACTTTGACCAGTCCAACCGAATGTCCCTGTGCATCCCCCACGTAAGCTTTACTGAAATGATATCCCACACAAGGAGCCAGCCAGACGGGTCGGAAGATGGGGCTGGCTGAACAGCGGCTGTGTGCCTGCCCAGGCCCAGGAGCAACATAAATCACTTTGAAGTCTACATCTGGTGCCGCTCCTCCCTCGTGTCTCCTAAGGTGGCAGCTTCATTATGGTGACTGGACAGGTGAAGAGTAACTCGATTTTCCCACACTGAGGCCATGTCCAGGGCTGTGAGGTCCAGAGGCTGCGGAGCTGTCTCTGCTCAACCCTCCAAGGAGCCTCCTCTGACCCCGGCCAGAGTCCCCACCTTCTTATTCCCTGCTCCAGACAGGAGTACCAACTTCGTCCTGGAGTAGGCAGTCCATGCGCAATCACGGACCTAACTTCCTGCATTCTGGAACCTTGTCACTGTCCCAAACCCACTTCCCCAGCCCAGCTTCAGAAAAAGACAGATCACCTAAAGGGCACTGGACATATCTTCACCACCTCATCCTCCCCAGCCAGTGTCATTAGAGACCTCGTCCTGAGACCATTTGAGGTCCTGAGGAGGTGAAGGAGGGGCTGTGATAGAAGACAGCCTCTTTGACCCGCGGGAATTTAATTACAGACAGGTAACGTGCGTTGGGTAGCTGGCAGAGCAAACCAGCAGATACTGTGTGTGTATTGTGTGGGGTTCCAAGAGCCCCGGGAGTAATGACAGCCTGGGGAGTTCTCCCAGGTGAGGGGATTATAATGGGTAGAGAAAGATGAGTATAAATAACCTCATAGGCCAAGAAGAAAGGGATGCATTCCAGTCAGGAGCTGAGTCCAGGCCAAGCCATTTGCAGAGCTGCAGAGCTGGGGACCAGGCTCACACTTGCTTGCAGTCTGTCTGAGCTGGAGATTCCTCCTGAGGTGAGTCCCCTGGGCCCTCCTGCCTGCAGCCCCATCAGCATTGTCCTTAGGAATAGGCTCAAACTCTGGCAGGCGAGGACTCCAGCAGAGTTGGGGAAAAGGATACTAATACACTGGTACTTTTACCTGCTTTGTAGTGCAGAGTGTGAAAATTTAATTATTTTGGAACCAGGGAGACCCAAGTCACAGTCACTAGGAATGATGTGAGCACTAAATATGTATGAAATCCTGTAGCCAGTGCTGTGGGGGCAGATGGATGCAACAGAAAGTGGGCTCCTATATCTCCTGTGGACCTGGTTGTGTCCCTGGAGCTATACTTTGGACCTGAGCTCTGAATGGCAGCTCTCTACCTCAGTCAGCCTGGTCCTCAACATGCCCATCATTCCTGCCTCTTGCCTCTTCTCACAAGGGCGCTGTTAGGCCAACCTATCCCCCACCTCCGACCAGCCCAAACCATTCCACCTTTTAAAGTCTCTCTGTAGCCTCCTGCACTCACCACCTCTCTTATGTATCCTCTGTGTCCCAAGGATATACCCCCATCATACTCTGTCTTGGAGACCTGAGTCCCCGTGGAGGATTCAGGCATGGCTCTGGCTCTCTCTTGTATGTCCTCTGAGCCTAAGAACTCAGCACACTCTTGCTGAATGACTGCTGACTCACTTAGTTCAGTTAAAATGCTGTCCAAGAAGAGGATCAGGAAGAAGCAGCTGGACTCGGGTGGAGTCACCCTGGAGAAGCTTCCTGGAGGAGCGGCTCAGTAGTATTTTGCAAATGGGTAGAGCAAGGCTTGGTGGGGAGGGAACCTGCCTGTGCATCTCTTCAGAGGCACGGGATGGCCCGGGGTGGCAAAGAGACTAGCTAGGTAGAGATTAGCCAAAGATCAGGTAATCTGGACCAACACAGAGGACCCACAAGCTAACCAGGAGAGGCACTGTGAGAATCGGGCCTCAGGAGGCTGCTCTGTGGTTCATGAGTGCCACAAGAGCCAGCTTCAGCCCGGCATGTGGATCCAGGCAGGTCGCTGCCCTGCTACTGGCGTTGGTATGAAGTTGCATTGGTCTTGTTTCTGTCAGCCACTGAACATTTTTGAGCGTCAAGGCTGGGATCAGGGAAGTAACCATGTGAGGAGTTGTCTAGCTCTTTGTTAATTGCAGATCTGAAGCCACAAGGGAGGAACCCTGGCCTCCCCAACTTCAGGCTGTTCTGGAGGGAAGCCCAGGCAGCCTAGCACTTAATTAATATACAAAACCCGACAGCGGGTGAAAAGCAGGCAAGCAGGGTCTGCTGGTGCGATCAGATTGGAGGCCTGTGGTCTTCCACTGAATCAAGACACTCATCTTAGGAAGGAAATAAGTGAATCCATGGCGCTCGTTCCAGCCCTGCGCAGGGTTGCCCTGAAGCTGCCGCACTCTCTCCTGCCTGGTGGTGTGACCTGGACGTTTCCAGAAAGGTGCCACTGTCTCTTCAACCAGAGCCTTGACTGGCTAACATCACCCTGCTCTTCCCCTCCCCCACCACTTCTGCCCCCATCTCATTATTTCTATATAAAGCTGCAGATTTATCATTATAATAGAGCTGCCGTCACTGGGATTTGCTAACATCTCTGTAATCTTGTAGTTATTTCTACAGAGGACTCAGACCCCTGTGCACACAACTATTCCTGTGCCTTCACTGCGGCGGGAGGTGAAGGCTGTAATTGGTGCCATAAATATGTGTTGTGCTTGGTGGTGCTAATTGACTCGGCCAGCTTCCTGCCTTGCCATGCCCCCCACCCCAGGTTAGAAGGTGCATGAGTGCATGCACATGTATGTGTGTGTGTGTGTGTGTGTGTAGGGTAGGGGTTGGTTGGTGGGCGTGGCAAAGCGCTCTGTATACTTCCTGAGAGTCTAGACTCAGGGTCTGCAGGGAGGAAGAGAAGCCTTGGGTGGTGAAATAGCTTCTGGTCTGAGAATGAGCAGAACAGTGCAGAAAGAGCCCAGTCTTTGGTGCAAGACACACCTGCCCTGCATTCTAGCTTTTATGTTGTCTATGTTTGAGACCCCGGGATATTATCTGAACTGTGTCTTAGTTTCAGCATCAATGAAATGGGGATGATAATGGTATCTAGACCAGTGGATTATATGGGGTACATAAAATGTAATATACAATCCACCTGGGGTGACCAGGGGACCTGCTGAGCCCTGTTCTCCCAGTGCTTTCCTGCTGGCTCAGCCTGTGGGTCCCTTCTCTACCACTCTCAGGCCTGACTTTCCTTGTCAGTTCAGACTACCTGGTTGTTAGATAGTATCTCAGTAGTCATCCCTTATGCAAAGGGGTACATTTGGAGATCTCCAATGGATGCCTGAAACCTTGGAGAGTACGCAACACTATATATACTATGTTTTTCCCCCCCTGTAAATATATATATACCTATGAGAAAGTTAAATTTACAAATTAGGCACAGGACTCTTAACAACAATGGTAAAATAGAACAATAACAATATACTGTGATAAAATCAACAGCATCAGAACTCTTGGGCTTGTGGCCATTATTAAGTAAAATAGGGT